GGTGGTAGGTCTGTTTCTTTACAGCCATCTCCTTTTCTGACAAAAAATGAAACTGCTGCTTTCCAGAGGGGTCCCTGGGTTTTTATGTGTGGTTGGTTCGGCCGGGGGGTGCATCATGTGTTGTAACCCGTTGCGGGTCTTTTCCGTTACCTGCACGCCACGGCCTCAGTGGCCGGGAATGCGCTTTGTGTTGACCTGGTTTCCCTTCTTCATTGTTCCAGGGTTCGGGTCTCTCAGGTCGTCCGCAGGGTTATTCGGTCCAGCCAGCCTGCGATCTACCCTCGTGCCCATGACGTTCATATGTTTTCTGCGTTGGCTGCCGTCTTTGGTAATGTCTTGGGCTGACATTCGGGCACGGGAACCCTTGGAAACCCTTAGAGGGCACGTGGGTCTGATAGATGTGTCCCCCGGAGTCACCCCTCGCTTCCTGCGTGTTCTGTTGCTTGCTTGTGACTCAGTTTACCCAATCTAATGATGACGTTCTACGGGTACAGGCGGCTCAAGCATTGCATGTGCGCTTTAGGTTGTTGCAACACGTTAGGTTGGTTCCTCACCCAGATGCACAGAGGCTGCCTCATTTTGCCTATAGGGACCCGGATCTGGGAGTTGGGGTTGCTTCGATCTTGGTTCAGTCCGTGCCCCCTCGTCCTTTCCCCTGTTGTGGTTCGTTCTGGTCCCCCCCCCCTCCCCTCCTGCTTCCGGCTCCGAAAAGTCTGAGGGTTTCGTAGTCGAAACAGGGTTTAGATGGTCTTGAGACTGGCAGTCTCGGGGGATGCCCCTTCCGGTGTGTCGATGGAGGCATTCGAGTCCGATCCCCCAGCCAAAGCCTCTGGGTCTGACCAGTGGGCCTCCTCCTGTCCAGCTTACTCGGCTGCGCTGGCCTTTTCTTTAGGGGTCGGTGCTCTGGGGGATGACTTCCAGGGAGGGGCTGACTTGGGGGCCTTGGGCCCCACTGGACCTCGCCTTGGTTTTTCTACCCTCTGAGCGGGGCTTATTGTTAGTCCTGGCCCTAGTTAGGCATGTGTCACATAGGGTCGGTGGTTGCAGCCAGTTTTCTTGACTTCGAATTGGGGAGTGAGTGGCGACCTCCTCCTGGGTAAGTCCCTCTTGTTTTATCTTTGGTTAAGTGGCTCAGGGAGCCGAAGGGGCTCCCCTAAGAAAACCAGCGTTGAATGTAATTAAACGGCATTTCCTGGGTGAGACCCAGAGGCTCCTTGGTAACCCTCCCTCCATCCGGTTGGCAGGTTTCTGGGGGGAGCCCTTTCGGCTCCCTGGAGTTTACCAGGCTGATATGCTAATGTCACTCTTTGGCATCAGTTATGGGTATGGAGTTCTGTGGGCCTACCGTAGACCACGGCCAGAACCTGGCCCCCTCAGAGAGGCATGAGGAGCAATGGCTTATAGAAGCCCTGGCGGCTTACCTCCTGTGTGGCCCGGATTATGCCTCGGTGATGGATCCGTCGTCTTTCAGGTTTGGGACTTCGTTCCCTTTCTGGGTCCGTTATGAGGTTCCAGAGTTGTCCTGGCTGGCGGACTGTCCTGTGTTTGCTTTGGAGGCTTGGCATTCTTTCTGTCGTTCCCGCACGCTTGAGTGGCGCGAGGCTTCGACAATGGTTCAGGTTTTCCTGGGGGGAGGGGGGGGGGGCGATCTTGAGCACCTCAATGAGTGCTTGTTTGCGTCTGCACATCCCCGGGATGTTGGTGTCATGCAGCTCCATCCCTCCTGGAGCTGTCTTCGGACTAGCTTGAGGAGGGCGTGGGGACACTTGGGGCCATTCCTGGGTCCGGTGCCTTGGGCTCGGCGGCTCACCCATTGGCTTCCTTGTTAAAGCTCTTTGCACCAATCCTGCTGGATGCAGTTTTGCTGTTTTATGCTTCCCGGCTTGCGTGTCGGCAGGCGGTGTTTGCCTCCTCTGGAATCGGCCTGGGCCCTGGCACTTAGGATGTCTTCGCCTTTTTGTCCTCTGCTTCTTACGGGTTCTGCCATGGCGCAGTATGTGTAGGCTGCTTCGGTTAGTTGTTGTCCTATGTCTGACTTATTGGTTCTCCAGGGGTTCCGGTGGGGGGGGCCTTCCTCGAGGGGTCGTACCAGGGCTCGGGGTTCCTCTTGTCGGGGTTGGTCAGTGGTGCCAGTTTCAGGTCCAGTGGTGCCAGTTTCAGGTCCAGCCCCACCTTCGTCTGGTCTGCGCGGTGTTCGCTCTGTGCGAGGTTCGGGGTCTGGTAAGGGGCGCCGGCCCTTTTGCAGTTCACCCCATTAATGGGGCAATGGCTTGCGCTGTTCGCTCATGCTTAGCCCACGATTTATGGGCTTTTCGGGTTGTTTCTTTCGGCCTGTGGTGGGCCCCTACTTCAGGGTGTTCGGGGCTGGCAGAGCAGGCCTCTTTCCGTACGCTGTATCTGGTCATCTTGGAGTGGGTTCGCTTGGGCGTGGTCGAAACGACGACGTCCCTCAGATGGGTTTCCCCGTCTGTTCCCAGTACTGAAATGGGGCTGTGCGGACCTGCAGTTCATTTTGGACTTGTCCCGTCTGAACTCCTGCATTCATTGACCCTCCTTTCGAATGACTACACTGTCCCAGGTTCGGCTCCTGTTGGCGCCGGGCTCTTGGATGGTGTCCATGGACCTCTGGGATGCTTATTGGCACATCCCAATTCATCGGGTTCAGGGACTGGCTCAGTTTTGTTGTGGTGCGTCAGGGTTACTGGTTTCAGTGTCTCCCATTCGGGTTGAACCTGGCGCCTCGCATGTTCACCCGCCTTACCCGGGTCGTCGTGACCCGTCTGCATCTTTTAGGTGTTCGGGTGTTGGTATCCTACCTTGACGACAAGCTGATTTGGGCTCCCAGCTGGTCCTCTTGTCAGCTAGCCAGAGATTTGGTTCTTTCCCAACTCGCCTGGTTCAGGTTCTTGGTGAACTGGAGGAAGTCCCATCTGGTTCTTTCCCAGGTTCGGACCTGGCTTGGTCTTGTGTGGACTCTCGGACTGCTTCCTTGTCTCTTCCTCCGGAGTCTCCTGTGGCTGCGGTCCTGCATGCGCCTGTTTCTGGGGGGCTTCCAGGTCACCCAGCAGATGCTTAAGGGTCTGTGCAGGAGCCTGAGCTTCGCGATGATGGTCTACCCACCGGGTTGGGTTTGGCTTTGTTAGCTGTTCTGGTTCCTTCAGGGACGTCCCTTCCGCCTCTCTCATGATCGGCCCTCAGGGGCTTTATGTCGACTGCTGCGTCGCTGGCTTCCTCTTTGGATTTTTCGGGGTTCAGTGCCTTGGCGCCTGCCCGAGCCCTTACTCGATGTGTTCACGGATGCGTCGTCTCTCGGCTGGGGCTTTGTGACCAGTGCTCTCCAGGCCGGCCAGACGGTGGGATCCGTCCTTCCGTCGGGGCCCACAGCATGGTGCGGGAGATCGCGACGGTGTGGTTTACTCTGTGGAGGGTTCAGGTCGCCCGCGTATCGTCAGTCCGGCTCCATTCAGACTGCTCCTTGGTGGTTTATTGCCTGAACCGAGGGGGTTCGATGCGGCCCCTGGCTCTTTGGCGCTGGTTGCTTCGGGTGACTCGTCTGCTGAGTTCTTGGGGTTTGGCTCTCCTGACAGTTCACGTGCGGGGAGTGTCCAACGTCTTGGCAGACGGCCTGTCTCGTTTTGTTCCCCTGTCCACGGAATGAACAGTTGACGCCGACTCCTTCCGTTGGCTCTGCCAGACATTCGGGTGCCCTGAGGTGGACCTAATCGCGTCAGCATGGTTGCGGTGCCTTCCTCTGTACGTGGCGCCCTACCCGACTGCGAGACCGTCGGGGTCGATGCCTTTCGGCAGGACTGGTTGAGCAGGACTAGTCGAGGTAGGGGGTTCCTGTACCTCTTTCCCCCGGTTCAGCTGTTGCTCCAGGTTCTGACTCACTTGAAGACTTACCAGGGGAGAGTAGTCCTGTTGGCCCCGTGGTGGCCGGCCCATCCGTGGTTTCAGGCGCTGGTTGCTCGGGTGTCCGAACCCGGAGGTTTTCCCGTGGCTCCGCTTCTTCCAGCGGATTGGACCGGAGCGTTACGTAGCTGGTTCGATCTTCTCCTCGAGTCTTCACGTATGGTGTTTTTGACTCAAATTTATCATCTCTATGGTGCTCAGGTGACTTCCTTGTTAGTGTCCCACCTGCTTGGTGGGACACTACAGGGGTTTGTTTTGGAACGCTTTCTTTTACTTTTTTCTTTTACCTTTCTGGGTGCCTGACTCGGTCGATGACAGACATAGATTGCTTCCAACCACGGGGGTTTCTATAGGCCATTGCTCCTCGTGCCTCTTCTGAGGGGGCCAGGTTCTGGCTCCTGGTCCCCTGTAGGCCTATAGAACTTCATACACATGACTGATGCCAAAGTCTGACATTAGCACATCAGCCTGGATAGCTCTGGGGAGCCGTCGGGTCTCGCGCAGAAAATGGCATTTCATTTCATTCAACGCCGGTTTTTTAACCAGATAGGGTTTATTTTGGGGTGTTTTCCTTTCTGGGTGCTTGACCCGGTCGATGGCAGACATAGAATGCTTCCAACCACACAGGGGGTTTCTATAGGCCATTGCTCCCTGTGCCTCTCTGAGGGGGCCAGGTTCTGGCTCGTGGTCCCCGGTAGGCCTAGAACTCCACCCACATTGATTGATGCCAAAAGTTAGGGATATCCATATCAGCCTGGATAGCTCCGGGAGCCTCGGGGACTCACCCAGAAAATGGCATGTCATTACATTCAACACTGATTTTTTGTGCATAGCTAGTATGATCATGTGGAAAAATTTCATGTATAATGTGGAAATTATTTGCTACAATGCCAGCTTACCTTATCAGTAGCCAAGCCATCAAGTGCAATTATTTTGTGAATGTTTCAGGTGCTCCTTCAAGATAAGAATAACAATTTAAGACATTAGACATGTTTGGGGATAATTCACATTTGACCACCCCTCCAGTTTTACAAATGTCTACTTTACTAAAATGTAAAAACTTACTAATATGCTTTCACCTTTTTCAGGCAAGGCTCAGAGGGATGGAATTGATACGTGTGAAGCTGGAGACTCATTAGGGTTGCTAGGGTCAGGTGCTAGTGAGGAGGGAACTCCACCTCCCTTACATCACCATCCTAACCCTATCCTGCTGCCTCCGCAGGCAAGCTTGACACGGCCTCGTATTATGCCTTACCCTCATCTTGGATATGTAGGTTTTCACCCAGGAGGAGGGATGATTAGGTATCCAAGTTTACCCTTGCCACCACAGACACAAGTTGTGGCACCCAGGAATCCTGTTCCACTGAATAGTGATAAGTCAAGCCGAGAAACTACACCACCTGCTCCAGGAGCAGTGCCACTGGTTCAACAAGATCCTCAGTGTTGTTTACGCTCACCATCTGATGTCAGCACAGTACCCAGTACCTTGACTGGAAATAATTTAGGACGAAATGGTGGATCTCCTCACAATGCAGCTCCCCATCCAGATGGTCCACAGCCTCCTGCACCCCACACACCCGTCCCTAGTGTGGCTTCAGCTCCCACTGCGCAGGCAGCTCCTAGCAATTCTTGCACTGGAGCTCCACATAGTAGTGTACAGTACAATGCTCCTGGTTACCCTGTGGTCATGGGTGCACCAATGTTTCAACAATTTCCAGGGTTTATGCCAGCACATAGCTCTGCCCTTTCTAATGGTTTTGTTTCACCGTCTTTACCCCCAAACTTTGCATTTCCTGCAATGGGTAATGGGATAAATGCAGAATTTGTGTATAGTGGACAGTATCCTCTTTTGGGAGGCACCACCCAAGGTGGAGGAGGTCCAGGTACTGCATGTGGCACCCCACCTGGAATCGGACCACCCTCTACACCTGGACAAGGACTTCCGGCAGGACTGCCATATTCTCATTACCCTCCTGCCCTTCCCCACACACCCAATCCGTCCGCTGGTGCCAAGAAGACTTGCTACAACTGTGGGCAGGTAGGTCACCACGGTGCTGAGTGTAAGGAGGCAAATATTGAAGATATGTGCAATGTACCAAAGACTGCCAGGTCTTGAGTACAAAAAAATTGTGGTGCAATAATATATATAACAACTTGTGGCAGCATTTTGAACAGGTACTCACATAAAGATAGACATGGTTGCTGTTTTGAAAGGGATGAACATTTAGTAATGATCATTCTTTATGTGTAATGGTGAGGATGTCATACTGACAGCTTTTTAAGTTTAAAAATGCATTTTAACAGTAATGAGTAGCTAACGGTGAAAATGTCAGAATGAATCATTTTGACAAGTGGAGCACAGTATCCCATAAATATATCTAATTGTTTCATTGTAATGGGACAAGTTGATAGAAAATTTATAAAGCTAATTATTTTTCAACACTTAGTGTGATGTTTAGTTAAAGGAGAAATTATACTTTGTCAGTGAAGTATTAGGAAGTTTTTCAAACATTTCTTAGGTACATTTATTTTGTGATAGTAGAAATGTAACTGTGTGAGTATTCAAGAGGCCAAAGAAGAGTGTTTGTGGTGAGGCCAGTGATTGATGACATACAGCAGTTGGGCTTAGGCTCAGCATTACATAGGATGGTGCTAAAGGGAGGAGAGAGAGATGTTACCACTTTGCTAGCATAACAGGAATTGAAAAAAGCTATTGGTAGATTATTTTTTGCTGGAAGTGTAGCTATCAGTACGTATCAATTTCTTTAGTGGAGCATACATAGTGCTTCAATCTCCCATGCTTCCTTTTAGACAAATCTTGTGCATTCCAGAAATAGGTACAACAGTCTCATAGGTGAATGAACACCTAATTTTTGTTGTATTTACAAATGAAAAAGAGGAATTGCATTTATTGATATAAAGTGATTAACCTACTTCTGAAGTTCTAGTGTCCTGGACTTGTATATATTTTTATGTTGCAGGAATGATATAAATTATGAATGGTTAAATCAAAAGTTGCCTGGATCAACTAGACCGACCCCATTGACTTTCATCATTAATAATCTACCAGCTTGTTACACCCAAGGCTCCTCAATTTGCATTAATTGCCGGTGAATCTTAATTTTGTATATTTTGTTTCTGGAATCATTTGAGGGAAGAAAAATACATGTGAGTAAAACTTTTTAAAAATATAGCAGCTCCTTTAGGATTCTTCAGAATAACATGATAATGTTTTATTAATTATTTTATGAACTTTTGACCCCCAAAAATATTGCAAAATTAAGATTGACTCTGCATCTAAGATGGCCATAGGGAAGCTAATGAGTTACTCCTGTTATAAGAAATGTTTCTTTATTGGACAAGCAATGTGTTGCATTTGAGCTTTTCCCAAGTCTTGTAGTGAAGATAAGATATTGAGAGGAAAGTGAGGGTGTAAGAGAGTACCCGCTTATGTCTTATGAACAGGGTCCAGATGCTTGAGCTCATATTACCTGATGTTATGCAAGGCCATAATATTTTCTAAGTCACTTAGTACCCAGTCATTATTACTTATTTATATTACTTTCATGTGGTGCTTTTTCTGTTTAAGTCAATCAGACCAAGACTATGGTAAAGGATACATAGCTTTTCAAGACTGTGGCTGCTCTAATGTGATACATAGTCCCTTACTTCAGTATCACAGCATTTTATAATGATGCATGTAAGTTTTGTTTTTTGTAAGCAGACACATTTTAGGACAGCTTTACCTGCTCTTGAAATTTTTATATTTTAAAATGATTGATGTAAAGTTTAAATGAAATTTAGCTTTGTATTTAGAAATTGGCACATTATTAAAAATACTAGTTGCTGTAGGTTGATGAGTAGAAGTTGCATATTAAAAAGTAATCAGGGAAGAAAATTTGTCTTAAATATATAATAGTAAGGACTGTATTGTATTTCATAAATATCAGAATATATAATCCTATACAATGATGGCAGGGTATTCACTTGTTACTGCAGCATTGGTACAAAGCTACCACCATAGATTTTAATTGATGTTATTCAGTAATGTTATGTAATACATATTACATAAAAACTGATACTTTTTTATCATTTTGATGATGGGAGGTTGATCCCACCTCCCTCCCCTCCCAACCCCTGGGCAGTAGTGATGTGACATTAGGAAGCAGGACTAACTTATTTGGAAATGTTTGGTGCTTATTTAGCATGACCAACACTGAAGTACTCTCACCTGGTGGGAGCTATGAGCCCACTTTTATTGATACACCAGATCAGTGATTAACCTTGGAATTCTATGTATCTCGATGTGTATAATGAATTCACATCATGTTTGTGTAGATGTCATGCTAACATTGTATGTTTATTGCTATTGATACCAATTATATATTATGTGGCTTCTTCAGGGTTATCTTTGTTCTGTAGCAGCTTCTTCAGTTATGTCATACTTGTCAGTGTGTTAACAATCCAAAGTATTTGATTTTTGTTTTAATTTGATCTTGTGCAAATATTCTCTTAATAAAGTTCTGTACATAGGACAATAGTGTATATAAATAAAATATGGATTAGCAAATCAACAAATCTACAATTTGTCGTATTGGTAAATAATGGACAAATTTTGAAGAGTTTGACATGCAGAAGTCTGTATTTTGCACTGTACATGTACACTAATATTGTAGAATATGTGCACTGTCTCTTAAGAGGATGGGTTAGGTCTGGCTTGGCATATGCCCCTGCAGCTGTTTAGTTTGGGATTTAGAATCTTTCATAAATCTTTATGCATAGGCCTATACAGGATTCGTAACCTTGTAGCTCAAAAAATAGTTTTCCTTGATTAATATCGGTAGATTCTACAATTTTTTCCCCCACTGCTGCAAGAGGTTGAGTTTCTCAAAATCTCTTCTGTCATATTTTTCTATAAATTATTTTAAACTAGAAATATTCATATGTTCAGTTTACCCTGCTGTACATGTCAAAATTTACATTTTCATGTATTGAAGCTGAAGATGCATAACATTTAAATACTTTGCAAACATCAATCATATTGATAATTTTAAACTAATTGGGTACTTTATTACAGTACAGTATGCTTAAAAAATCAGTATCTTTTGAACAAAAAGAAATATATATATATATATGTGTGTGTGTGATTACCCAAGTTTTAAAGTTACTAAATTAGTTTTCAGTTGGGATTTAAGAATTAAATATGAGCTTTGTGATGGCCACAAGTTTGTTACATATCAGTGTGTCCAGAAGAGTCTAGTTGATGGTCAAAGTTCAGTGTTGATTGTTTTTTAAAGGTGTGTTCAGAACTGAGTTATGCAAAGTAGTTTTATTGACATAAGCAGCTATAAGAAAATTATAAGAAATCTTATGTGTTAGATATAGAATTCAGTGCAAATGAAAATTTCAAAATTTTCTTCATGGTGCCTCTATTTATATATATATATGCTGTGTCTACCATCTCATACCTTATGATGACCAATCTTTCCTTTCTTGATTTGTTAAATGTCTGTCTTGCATTTCTCTGTAGATCTCTTCCCTCTTTAGTGAATGTCTTCCTTCTCTTTGTCATTGCTTATATTTACACTTTTTGTGGAAGTGTCTTTTCATAATGTGACTGCATGTCTTCATTATCTGAAAACTGGTGCATCTGTGTATTTATTAGTATATCCCTTTATTTTCATATAAACACTGATGTCGGCTGTTCTTGTGAGTGCTTGTGGCTTTCTGCTAACGTGTTTTGTCCTGTGGGTGAAATCGGTCAGTAAAAATGTCCAAGATTAATTTTAATTTGAGAGAAAAATGTGTGCAAGAGTGTTTAATAATGTGAAGCTAATCGAGTTTGTGTGTGTAGATATGGATGAGAGAAATACATTGTTCATTCCTTTCTTCAATAGTAACAGAAGTCAAGAAAGTCAAGATTTACATCAACTTTTGTATTTATACTCGTAATATGAACATTATTAAGGTAGTCTTATGTTGACCAGTAAGAGATGTAATATGATAATAAATGCAACAAAGTTTCACTGCTTCAAAGAAATTTCTTTGTCAGCCTTGGACGAGTTATATTCTTGGGGCTGAGAATGTTATGACTTCACCCAAATTTATTAGTGGTGTTTTGCAGACTTGTCAGTGTGACAAATCAAGTCATTTCTTCTTGTCAGGTTTTGTCTTCCAGAGTTGGATATGAGTTTAGATAAGGTACTTGAAGTCATTGAATCTCTTCCTCTCTGCAGGCTACGATATACCATTAACATAACACTTGAAGTCATGGTTTGGATACATAAAATGTCTGCAGCAATTGGATTAAGTATTTTGGAAAAAAGAGACAGCTTTTAAAAATTTCTGGAGAACTACAAAGGAATGTAATTGAAATCCAAGTAGAATTGTATCCTCTTGTTATTTATATGCACATTTATTTTAACATTTTTTATCATGTGCTGTTGAGTGTAACGGATATGTATGTTAGCATCTTAAAGTCTTTAGCAGGTTTTTCTTAAACTGTTACAGTAGTGAATGGCTGTATGTGTCTCGGATTCAGAAAAGTTTGTGTTCGTTCAATATTGTCGTACATCTTTCAATACAGAATTTTTTATGGGTAATTGACAAGTATATTTGTATGATTTATTTGTGAATTTAAAGCATATACCAGGTAAAGTACTGTGTACATGATGTAATTGTTCGTAAATATTTATAGTTATGGGAGCTGATCTCTTAGTAATAATGACCAAAGTTGTATCATTTATGTTATGGTAAGCATGAATGAATTTGCTAGTGAGGTAGGGGACTTAGTTTGCCAGTGTGATCTATTGGGTTTACAAGATTTATATTTAGAAAGCAATAAGGCTGTATAAGCAAAATCTTTATCAAAAGGTAAAAAATAAGTACTGTATTTTTTATTTTTGCCCTATAGATGATATTGATTAACCCCCAAAAAAGTATTCAGTATCATTTGCATTTTAATGTTTCTCAGATTTTATGTGGAATTCCCATAGAATTATATATTGTTGTGTATTGCAAGCCTTTATTTACCCGCGTGCCATTCCATGCAACCGACGAGTACTAACAAAGATTTTATCTGCGGCATATGGTAAGCCTTCATGGAATATGAAGGTTATTGATTAAGTCGATATTATTCCTTAGATGTAGCTCCTGGGACAGGACTCTGGTTCCTCACCTTAAATGCTACTTAACAAGTGTGGTTATTACAAAGCATTTAGTACAGTACATTGTTTTTCTTGATGCAATAGAGTTTCTAAGAGTTCGTAAAGGTACAATGAGGATTTATTAGATATTTTCTAGTGTATTATTTAGCTATTGTTCAGGTTATGTATTTTATGGAAGAGATTTAAGTTTTTATTTTATAGAATAATAATGTATGCCTGTGAATTACTTTTGTAATTGTCCTTCACCAGAATGTTAGTGCTCAAGCTTTAGCTATTCTAAGTGCAACTTAGGGTTTCCTGGAGTAGATACCAGTTCTGTTTGAAGTATATGTTTGGTAATGGCTTTCACCCTCGTGCATAACTTACAATTAATTGGATCTTGACTGTGAGGTAACAATCACTCAAATATATTACTGCCCCCTGTATCCTTCACAAGTGTTCTGGCTATGCAAAAAATACTCAAAATAATTTAAGCCAACTTGGTTCTAATTGTTATTACTCAAAACAAAAAAAAGTGGATTAGGAACAATTCTGATTGTACGGAAGTTATGTTAACTAGTGGCATAAAACAGATCAGACAATAGTGTGATATTTAGTAATTTTCTCTTTCAGAAAATATTTTTGTATTGACTTTATTTTAAATGTCAAGAAGAAAATACAAATTTGTACCAGAATGTTTGAGAGTATGTCGGTGTGTGTGCATACATACATGCTTACCTATCTGTGTGTTGAATTAAGGTCCAACTCTTAAGTGCACGCTCGGTCTCTCAAACATAGGTTCAGATAATACTATTCTCTTTGTAGTTCATTGGTTCACGTGAAATAAATATATATATAATATATATATATATTCATATATATATTCATATATATATATATATATATATATATATATATATGTCGTACCTAGTAGCCAGAACTCACTTCTCAGCCTACTATGCAAGGCCCGATTTGACTAATAAGCCAAGTTTTCATGAATTAATGTTTTTTCGTCTACCTAACCTACCTAACCTAACCTAACCTAGCTTTTTTTGGCTACCTAACCTAACATTACCTATACAGATAGGTTAGGTTAGGTTAGGTAGGGTTGGTTAGGTTCGATCGTATATCTACGTTAATTTTAAATACAATAAAAAAAAATTTACCTCATACATAATGAAATGGGTAGCTTTATCATTTCATAAGAAAAAAATTAGAGAAAATATATTAATTCAGGAAAACTTGGCTTATTAGGCAAATCGGGCCTTGCATAGTAGGCTGAGAAGTGAGTTCTGGCTACTAGGTACGACATATATATATATATATATATATATATATATATATATATATATATATATATATATATATATATGCGGAAAGATATAATAAATATATATATAATATATATAAAATATATATATATATATATATATATATATATATATATATATATATATATATATATATATATATATATATATATATATATATATATATATATATATATATATATATATATATATATATATATATATATATATATATATATATATATATATATATATATGTCGTACCTAGTAGCCAGAACGCACTTCTCAGCCTACTATACATGGCCCGATTTGCCTAGTTAGCCAAGTTTTCCTGAATTATTATATTTTCTCAAATTTTTTTCTTATGAAATGATAAAGCTACCCATTTCATAATGTATGAGGTCAATTTTTTTTATTGGAGTTAAAATTAGCGTAGATATATGACCGAACCTAACCAACCCTACCTAACCTAACCTAACCTATCTTTATAGGTTAGGTTAGGTTAGGTAGCCGAAAAAGTTAGGTTAGGTTAGGTTAGGTAGGTTAGGTAGTCGAAAAACAATTAATTCATGAAAACTTGGCTTATTAGGCAAATCGGGCCTTGCATAGTAGGCTGAGAGGTGTATTCTGGCTATTAGGTACGACATATATATATATATATATATATATATGTCGTACCTAATAGCCAGAACTCACTTCTCAGCCTACTATGCAAGGCCCGATTTGCCTAATAAGCCAAGTTTTACTGAATTAATATATTTTCTTTAATTTTTTTCTTACGAAATGATAAAGCTACCCATTTCATTATGTATGAGGTCATTTTTTTTTATTGGAGTTAAAATTAACGTAGATATATGACCGAACGTAACCAACCCTACCTAACCTAACCTAACCTATCTTTATAGGTTAGGTTAGGTTAGGTAGCTGAAAACGTTAGGTTAGGTTAGGTTAGGTAGGTTAGGTAGTCGAAAAAACATTAATTCATGAAAACTAGGCTTATTAGGCAAATCGGGCCTTGCATAGTAGGCTGAGAAGTGAGTTCTGGCTACTAGGTACGACATATATATATATATATATATATATATATATATATATATATATATATATATATATATATATATATATATATATATATATATATATATATATATATATAATATAATGCTGCACACACAAACAACCCCCCATCAGTAATTTCAAAGCGTTATATGACAGAGTGCTGGGGAGACGGGACACCACAAGCGTAGCTCTCATCCTGTAACTACACTTAGGTAATTACACTCTTCTCTCAGAAAATTTAATATTATGAAGCACTAAAAAGCTGCTAAAACTATTGAAAACATCTCCAATTTCAGATTTGCTGAAAATCACAGGGGTCACTATACAATATGATATTTCTTAAAGGTGGACTCTTCCAAGAGTTTTCCATCATTGTGGTGAGAGGGCGGCATATGTACGACTTCCTAGGGTTGGTAGGGCGGCATATGTACGACTTCCTAGGGTTGGTAAGGCGGCATATGTACGACTTCCTAGGGTTGGTAGGGCGGCATATGTACGACTTCCTAGGGTTGGTAGGGCGGCATATGTACGACTTCCTAGGGTTGGTAGGGCGGCATATGTACGACTTCCTAGGGTTGGTAGGGCGGCATATGTACGACTTCCTAGGGTTGGTAGGGCGGCATATGTACGACTTCTTAGGGTTGGTAGGGCGGCATATGTACGACTTCCTAGGGTTGGTAGGGCGGCATATGTACGACTTCTTAGGGTTGGTAGGGCGGCATATGTACGACTTCCTAGGGTTGGTAGGGCGGCATATGTACGACTTCCTAGGGTTGGTAGGGCGGCATATGTACAACTTCCTAGGGTTGGTAGGGCGTTGCCTCGGCCCCCTTTTCTGCGCCTACCCAGGCATTTTGTGTGTATTCTCCAAGTTGTGCATGGGGTGGGGGGGGGGCGAGCTCTGGTCATTTGGCACACCTCTCTGCTGTCAATCAATCAACTGTTACTAACTACAAGTACAATCTTTTTTTTTTTTTTTGTGTGTGTGTGTGTGTGTGTGTGTGTGTGTGTGTGTGTGTGTGTGACTGGCTGGCTCGCTCGCTCGCTCACTCACTCACTCACTCACTCACTCACTCACTCACTCACTCACTCACTCACTCACTCACTCACTCACTCACTCACTCACTCACTCACTCACTCACTTCTCTCTCTCACTTCTCTCTCACTCACTCACTCACTCACTCACTCACTCACTCACTCACTCACTCACTCACTCACTCACTCACTCACTCACTCACTCACTCACTCACTCACTCACTCACTCACTCACTCTCTCACACACACACACACACACACACAATTCATAAACAACAAATTGCAGGTAAAGGATAATATCCAGAGGTTGAAAATGGGAAACAGATTCACGGAAAATGAAAAGGAAATGTGTGAAACATTAAATGAAAAGTTCCAAAGTGTGTTTGTACAAAATGAAATCTTCAGAGAACCAGACACAATAAGAATTCCAGAGAACAACATAGAGCGGATAGAGGTGTCTAGAGATGAAGTGGAAAATATGCTAAAGGAGCTCAGTAAGAACAAAGCAGCTGGCCCAGATGGCGTTTCACCATGGGTTCTGAGAGAATGTGCATCTGAGCTCAGCTTTCCACTTCACCTGATCTTTCAGGCATCCCTGTGTACAGGAATCGTAGCAGACGTGTGGAAACAGGCTAACATAGTTCCAATCTACAAAAGTGGCAGCAGGGAAGACCCCCTCAATTATAGACCTGTATCATTGACAAGTGTAATAGTGAAAGTATTTGAAAAACTAATCAAAACTAAATGGGTAGAACACCTGGAGAGAAATGATATAATATCAGACAGACAGTATGGTTTTCGATCTGGAAGATCCTGTGTATCGAATTTACTCAGTTTCTATGATCGAGCCACAGAGATATTACAGGAAAGAGATGGTTGGGTTGACTGCATCTATCTGGACCTAAAAAAGGCTTTCGACAGAGTTCCACATAAGAGGTTGTTCTGGAAACTGGAAAATATTGGAGGGGTGACAGGTAAGCTTCTAACATGGATGAAAAATTTTCTGACTGATAGAAAAATGAGGGCAGTAATCAGAGGCAGTAATTAAATCAGTAATCAGAGGCAGTAAATCAGTAATTATCGGAATGGAGAAATGTCACAAGTGGAGTACCACAGGGTTCAGTTCTTGCACCAGTGATGTTTATTGTCTACATAAATGATCTACCAGTTGGTATACAGAATTATATGAACATGTTTGCAGATGATGCTAAGATAATAGGAAGGATAAGAAATTTAGATGATTGTCATGCCCTTCAAGAAGACCTGGACAAAATAAGTATATGGAGCACCACTTGGCAAATGGAATTTAATGTTAATAAATGCCATGTTATGGAATGTGGAATAGGAGAACATAGACCCCACACAACCTATATATTATGTGAGAAATCTTTAAAGAATTCTGATAAAGAAAGAGATCTAGGGGTGGTTCTAGATAGAAAACTATCACCTGAGGACCACATAAAGAA